ATTCTAAGTTTAAGTCTAGAAATCCTACAATTTCCTAGTTCGCTTAAACTAGTGCTCTGATACCAACTGTGACATCCCCATTTTCACGGCTAAAAAAGATCGATTTTGTTTATGCTTTATAAAAATCAGAGTACCTCTTTTAATAAAAATGTTGTGGAATTTGTTCCCATAAAAACATGATAATTGCGTTATCAAAGCATTTCTAAAGAAATGTATTTTTTTATTCACTTTTAAAACATTTGGGATGTCATTGTCAATACAAAACATAAACATAAACAGAACTTACATTCATTTACAATAGTGATCTACATCTATTTTAAATCTCTCAGTATAATGTAACTTTATATCGACACCTGTGATATAAATAAACTGAGTGGGTCAGGTTGGGAAACCTGGTGAGTACATAGAGTTTTCAACCCACAATAATATAATTATTATATTTAAACATAAAACAATCAACCCAATTACCCATTTTCATTATCTTCTTAAGGATTTACCCTAAGGATCAGCTAACCCTTGTTCATTCATTCCTAAGGATCATCCTAAGGAAACAACATGAAGTCTATTGTTGCCAATGACATAGTGGTCAAGTGCAACTGCTAATATCATCGCGTAGGCGTAACTGCCAGAATTGAGACATTTTCTATGAGGCGCTTCTGTCGGTATTGACCTCTAAACGCTACTGTCATGGTCATAAGGCTCCCTATTAGGCACAGTTGCCGATGCTGTCCTTAGAGCGCAACTGCTAGGATATTTACCGTATATCTAAAACATCTACAGGTTGTGGCGCAGCCGCCAGTGTTCATCTATAGGGTACTAGGTCCATTGCTGCCAATGTTTACCTATAGGGAACTAGGTCCATACCACTAATGTTCCTCTATTTCAGCTTTTATCCCTCATCATTCATCTACCCATGTTTTTACCTAACGTATTTTGTAGATATAAAATACTTTATACATTTTTACATCATTTAAAACATGTATAAAAATATTTCACCAACATAGACAGCAAGTATTCAGACAATATGAACACATAGTACGTAATTTATATTAAAATACTTCATATATATGTGTAAGATGAAAGTAACTATGCACTTATAGAATCTAAAAACGGTCAACGGCTCGTGCTCGTCGGGCTCGGGACACAGAACGGCTTCAGAAAACAAGAGAGAGAAGGAAGATTTGGTGTAAGAAGTGAATGAGGTCGAACTTGCTATTTATAGGCTGATTTCGGCCCATTCACGTTGTGATAAGTCATTGCTCACGTCGTGATGAATCACCTCATAGCTTCGACATTTGCGTTCTAGGCTTGAATAGTGTCTGTTTGACTCCTCACGTCGTGAGAATTCATTACTCACGTCGTGAGCTTTTGCGTTATCGTTCCCGTAGACTTCTAGCTTCGAAATGTGACTTTTTGACTCCTCACATTGTGAGAAAAGAGGCTCATGTCGTGAGTCCAATCAATTTAGGGTTTTTGACGCGTGTCATGCTCTTAGACAGCTGTATCTTCGGAAGGTCATAACTTTTGCATACGAACTCCGTTTTTGACGTTCTTTATATTCACGCATAGGTGGAGACGTATTCTACAACTTTCATTTAGATCCCTAAGGCTAAAAAGTCCTCTATCTTAAATTCACTATTTACGTCTCCCGTGCCGTGCTGGTTTTGCCGAAAAACTTCGACGGGCCAGAACTTCTTCGTTATAACTCGGATTTCGGCGTTCTTTATATGTACGAAACCCTTGAGACATATTCTACAACTTGGTTAAGATTATTTATTATAAATAATCTTTTGTCGAAAAGTCGTTTTCGACCCCTATTATCTCTAAATTGACTAGCCCAGATCTGCGGGCGTTACAATATAACAGTCAAACCGATCTAACAGATCACTAATCATAGCAACATATCATAATCGGGATACATACCTAACTGGTCACTAACATAGCATCATCATATATACCAGGATACCGACCTCACCAGGTCACTAAGTATATCACCATCCTAATTACCATGATGTAAATCAATAACATATCATGTAAATAACTCGGATACAAATCCAAAAAGGGTCGGAATTGGTGCCTTCGACCTTGTCAGTATAGTAAAGACAACTCACATGGCACTGTTGGAGTCCTGCGGATGAAACTCCAGCTGCTGGTTGGCAGATTTCTCGAACTGCCAACATCAAACAATACCCAATTAATAATTAGGTTCCAAGCCCAAGGTCCAACTCAAACACTAAAAGCCCAAAAGTCAACTAATAGGTCAAAGCCCAACATATGGCCCAATTTTCCAAATTGGGCCCAGACCTTTACATGGTCTTTCCTTAAGGCCCATTCAGTTATTCTAGTCGTAACTCTTGGTATTCCCATGGCTGTATATTACGTGATCATAAAGGCCCAATTATGGCCCATCTATGGTCCAATTTTCCAAATTGTCCCTAAGTCTCTCACATAGGCCTTATCTTAAAACCCATACAAATATTTTAGTTCATTTACTTGTTCATGGAAAGCCCATCAATAAACCAATCACCAAAGTCCAAAAGAAAGGCCCAACTCAAGGCCTAAGTGAAATTAGGGTTTTCACATGAAATGACAATTAAGGTTAAGTGTTCCTACTTAACCCATTAAGGACTTAATCCATTAAGGACTTAATCTGTTAAGTCCAATATTGCTTTTGGTTAATTTGCTCATGATTATTAATTAATATTTTAAGTTTAATAATTAATTCAAGTGCGGGTCCCAAAAATTCCCAAAATTAGGGTTTCATGTCATTAGGGTTTCCCAAACCCTAATTAAGGTTTCCTACCCCATACTAGCGCATTCGTCCAATGGTTGGGCTTTTAGGTCAATTAAGGCTTCATTGGGCTCATTAGGGTTCTATTGGCCCCACTAGGATTTCATTGGGCCCATTCTATCCAATCATCCCAAATGCGTCAAATCACAAGAAAGCACACCGCCACCAAACACGGCGGCTGGTGGCGGTAGCCACCACCTCACGGTGGTGGTTATGAGTTTTCATTTTATTATTTCTACTCCGATTACAGTTTACAATACAATCCCAATACACACACATCCTAACATAAACACACACACAACCACCCTTGTGGTAGTTGATGGTTGTTCATAGTGGCAGCCACCATCTCACGGTGGTGGCAACATGGTATTTCTTCAAATCTCCGGCCAAGAAATGATCCTACAGCCCTCACAAGCGAAACACACACATACAAACACTGAATCACACTCACAACCACCCATACACGATGGTTAAGGGTGGCAGAAGTGAGCTAACGGCGTCAGCCACCACGGTTGGCAGCCGTGGTGGTTTCCTTGGGTTTTTTCGGCCAATAGAAACGCTCTACAAAAACGATTAGCACAACAACACTCAGCTTTACACACCAAAACAGATGTGGCCACCCACCTGGTGGCACACGATGACGACAGGAGACGACAGTAGCATCAATAATTATGCGTCGACAGGAAGAAAGAGGAAAAGGAGAACAATCGGTTCGGCAGCAACGATATCCACACACCCCGATGTGGCTCCGCCTTCCATAGAATCGACACAGCAGCAACTGAAGATGGGAACCCAGCTTCGTCGCCAACGACATCAGCGGGAGTAACGGCGGCATTAGGCGATGCGAATTAATAGCTGCGAGACAGAGTAAAGGTAGGAGGAGAGAGTTGCTGCAACGAGGAATGGAGGTAGCGCCTTCACTGGAGCATGACAGTGGTGCTAGCGACATTCAAGTGGCAGTCACTGGCAATGGGGACGTGTGAAGCTAGCTTCATCGGAAACAATGGTCCCAACAACCTTTGGTTGATCGAAACAGGAAGGGAGTCGAGTGAGGAGGATGGTAGCGGCCGGACGATGGAGGAGGGAGAGGGTGGCGGCTGGTGTGAAGGGGTTAGGGTTAGGGTTTACATGAGGGTTATGATGATTATATACGGGGCTAATCGGGGGTGACGGGTTCACCCATTTCCATCCTCAAACATTTGTATACTTCACACATTTAGTCCCTCTCCATAAGAAGTCTTTTCAACTTAAGTCCCACAATTACCTTTTCTACCCTGACTTCGGAAATTCCTTTCAAATCCAATCTGTAATTTACCAAACAACCCGTCAACCTCCAAAATCTTTTCAGATGAAGCCCCAGAAGTTACCATTTAGTCCCTGCCTTCATAAATACTTACAAAACCAATCCTGAACTTACACTTTCAACCCCGAACTTCAAAATTATGCCATTTGGCTCCTCGAAACCAACACCCCGCTAAATATAATTTGATTTTGGACTAAAATAATATAAATTAATAATAAAAATTACTTCTCAAGGTTTCGGGTTTATCATTTAATTATTCAATTTTAAATGGGAT